GGGAGGAGTAGATATAAGAGGATTATAAAGGTGGCCTTTCCCCCATCCCTCCAGAAGAAGAAGAATGGAAAGATTGGACTAAATGGAAAAAAAAAGGGGGAGGGAGATTTGGCAAGAATGTATGTGAGTGGTTGATGTATGAGGTATCTGTGGGGTTTTGTGCTTGATATTTGTTGTATAGAATGTATTGTATAGATTATGTTAAAATGAAGTGCAATAAAAACATATTAAACTATAAAAAAGAAAAGCCAAACCAGCAGGTGGAAAGTTCAAGAGTAACATTAGAAAGCATTGTTATACCAAAAAAGTAGTTGATGCTTGGAATGGATGTCCTGTAGTGATAAAGAGTTCATCAGCAGTAAGGGGCTGGCATGTAAAAGCTTTAGTTTGACTGGATGAGCAGCGCTTAAAGGAGAACTATAAGATGAGTGATTTCCACTCCCCTCATAGTTCTAGCCGACCTGTGACAATGAGACTGTCACAGGTCGGCTCAGTAGATCGGGAGGTGAGCGAACACATACCGGGTTCGCTCACCTCTCGATCCTGTCACGGCTCTCTGCCGTGACAGGGTGGGGGGCTGGATTCCCCAGGAGGGGGGCGTGTACAGCTGGCTCTGCCTCTAGATAGGCAGAGCCAGCTGTCACTCATGCAGCTGGGCGGATCCCGACGTCCAGGTCGGGATCCGCTTCGGCTGCGGCGTCTCAGTATACCGCGAGCTGTAGCTCGCGGTATACTGAGCTTAGGGTAACGGGAGGACGCTAGTTTGTGACCTCCCGTTACACTAAGGAGAACTATGGGGAAAAACACTGACCCCATAGTTCTCCTTTAAAATAAAATCAAAGCAAACCTAAACCAATAAATCAGTGAAAGTGAAAAAAGGTGACTCCAATCTACTGGAAATATCGAATAAATATACTGCGCTAACTGTTCAAGTGTGAATAATACTTAATCAGTGTGAATGTAAACATATACACCAAATATTCTTACATGTAACCAAAGTGCTAAATAAAGTTATAAGTGAAAATGATAATTAGTAACAGAAAGCCCTCTGTGCAAACATTACAAAGGATAAATGGTGCTGTTTGTCATATCATACGTGACTGTCACAAGTGATCAAAAATAATGAATTGAGTGTTTCATATAAAAGTCTATTCAGTGATGTGTCTCTGTGAAATAAGTTTTCACATCCAAACTTATTTCCCAGAGACACATCACTGAATAGACTTTTATATGAAACACTCAATTCATTATTTTTGATCACTTGTGACAGTCACGTATGATATGACAAACAGCACCATTTATCCTTTGTAATGTTTGCACAGAGGGCTTTCTGTTACTAATTATCATTTTCACTTATAACTTTATTTAGCACTTTGGTTACATGTAAGAATATTTGGTGTTCTTGTAAAAGCTTTGCCCAGCATATACAGGTGAAACTCGAATAATTAGAATATCGTGCAAAGTTCATTTATTTCACTAATGCAACTTAAAAGGTGAAACTAATATATGAGATAGACTCATTACATGCAAAGCAAGATAGTTCAAGCCGTGATTTGTCATAATTGTGATG